CTATAGCTGTTAGCCTATGGGATAAAAAGGTGTTAGAAATTATCATGAAAGGTTACCGCCTGAACTTGGGTTCACCCAATAAGCAAATTACACCATATTACTTTGAGGTTTGAAATTAGCATTACTCTACTCAAGCTTAACTCTTGTTTTTTTTTTTATTTCTTAGATTTCTTGAAATGTGCTAATTATGTTAGGTGGTCAGATCTTGTTACGGCTGACCTTTAAAAAACCTGTTTGATCAGCTAATCTTGTAGTTTGACTTATTTTTGGGGCCCATGATCATTGCAAACAGTTAGATTCAATACTGGTTAAATTGTGACAGACAAATTCCACTTGCAGGTTGAAAAGTTGCAAGCTTTGCATTAGCTAATCTTAACTGCTAAATATTTGCCTGGATGTCTCCAAGAGCATATATTTATTGCTTGTGATAGTAACCCCTCTGGTTCTGGCTACCACCTCTGGCAGAGGGAAGCCCCACTGCTCCACAGGAGGAGGTGGAGGAGGGTGGAATGGGAGGAGGAAGCTTCCACTGCTACTGCCTCAGGTGGAGGGAAGCCCCCATGCTCAATGGGAGCAGTCTGGGAGGAGGGATCCACTGCTGGTGCCACTGCCACTTCCTCAGGCAGAGGGAAGCCCCACTGCTCCATAGGAGGAGGCAGAGGCAGAGCTAGAGGTGGTTTGGTGAGGGGGAGGGAGCTGTTGCTGCTGCCTTCTCAGGTGGGGGGAAGCTCCACTGCTCTACAGGTGGAAGCAGAGGCAGGCAGGGGTGGGAGGGAGCAGACTCACCGGAAGCTGGAGGAGGTGGTAGCAGCGGAGTGACTATTTACTAGGGCTGTGCAAAGCTTTGGATCATGATTCAGATTTGGAGATGATTCAGATGATTTAGATGCTGAATCTACCAATCCAAATCAAATCACTGGAAGCTTTAGGCTTTTCAAATCGATTCGGAGCTTCCGAAGATTCAGCCATAGGATATAATGGGGAGTAAATGAAATATCTATAACTTTGTTGTCTTTTGGCTGATTCAGGTGAAACTTGCAGGGATAGTAGCCTCTTCTGAGAGCATGATGCCTGCCAAACTTCTAGGTGATAGGTGAAGGGGTCTCTGGGAAACTGCACCCCAAGTTTCACAAAGTAAAAATCATGTCATGTGTGTGTGTTAAGCCACAGTGCGGTGATGGTAGCCTCTGCTGAGTCAAAAACGTTTACCATGCCTAAAGCAGATAGGTGCAGGGGTTTGGGAGAAACTGCACCCCAAATTCTTGAAAGCAAAACTAATGTCACATATATGTGTTAAGCTACAGTAGGGCAAAACCTTCAGGGATGGTAGCCCCTGTGGAGGCCACAAAGCCTGCCAAGTTTCAAGGAGATAGGTGCAGGGATTTCAGGGAAACTGTACCTCAAGCTGCGGACAAGCAAAACTCATGACATGGGTGATGCTGTGTGTGTTAAGGTGCAGCAGAATGAAGGCGGCGGCCCTGCTAGCCCCTGATGCAGCCACAAAGTCTGCCAGTTGCCAAGGAGATAGGTGCAGGGGCTTCTGAGTTCTGGGGCCCTGCAGCTCTGACTGCTGACAGGCAAAACTCGTTTCATGGGTGCTTTGGAACTGTGTCTGTCTTGGGGCACGGGGGAGGTGGGGGTGGGGAACGCAGACTACTGCAGGCCTGGCTGCTAAACTACTGTGTTACCAATCAATCATGATTCACTCAGGGATCAGCTCAATGCACAGTAGCTAGCTACTAGATAATGAGTTAATGAGC